CAATTCTTTGCATATCCCCCCACGGGGCTGAGAGGGACGCTCGCTCGCCCTCACCTCCCAAACCCAGCCTTCAACCTTCCGAAGCCTCCCAGCCAGTGGTCCCATCACTCTCCTCCCTCCTCTCTCCTCCCTCCTCCCCAGTCTCCTCCTCGCTGCCCCACCCCCAGCTCGCAGACTAGCTCATTGGCCTCCTGAGTTCTCCAAAGAGGGAGGCACCCAGAGGGGCCAAACCTAGGGTGGTCAGGGTGGGGATGACCCCCTCCTCAATCCACACTGCCCCTTCCCTCGTCCCTTCCCACTTGCCATCCCCTCTCCAAATCAAGCATAGCTTTTGGATCACTGGTAGGGGAAAGATAGAGGGAAAAGACATTTTAAGAAAGAGACCTGGGGCTCACGCCTGTAATCCCAGCACTTTGGGAGGCCGAGGCTGGTGGATCATGAGGTCAGGAGTTCAAGACCAGCCTGACCAATATGATGAAATCCCGTCTCTACTAAAAATACAAAAATTAGCCAGGCGCGGTGGCAGGTGCCTGTAATCTCAGCTACTCGGGAGGCTGAGGCAGGAGAATTGCTTGAACCTGGGTGGCAGAGGTTGCAGTGAGCTAAGATCATGCCACTGCAACTCCAGCCTGGGCTACACAACGAGACTCTGTCTAAAAAAAAAAAAAAAAAAGAGGGGGAAGATCTGGCTCCTTTTGAGAGGTGAAGCTAGTTGGACTTCCTGGGTAGAGTGGGGACTTCTTGGAGAACTTTTCTGTCTAGCTAAAGGATTGTAAATGCACCAATCAGCACTCTGTAAAAACGCACCAATCAGCACTCTGTGTCTAGCTAAAGGATTGTAAATGCACCAATCAGCACTCTGTAAAAACGCACCAGTCAGTGCTCTGTGTCTAGCTAGAGGATTGTAAATGCAGCAATCAGCAGTCTGTAAAATGGACCAATCAGCACTCTGTAAAATAGACCAATCAGTGGGATGTGGGCAGGGACAAATAAAGGAATAAAAGCTGGCCACGCCCCCACCCCACCTCCACCCCATCCCCACACCCAACCCCATCCCCACTCCCACCTCCACTCCCACTCCTAGCCAGCAGCGGCAACCCGCTTGGTTCCCTTCCATGTTGTGGAAGCTTTGTTCTTTTGCTCTTCCCAATAAATCTTGCTGCTTCTCACTCTTTGGGTCCGTGCCACCTTTAAGAGCTGTAATACTCACCGGAAGGTCCACGGCTTCATTCTTGAAGTCTGCGAGACTAAGAACCCAAGAAGCCTGTGAGACCAAGAACCCACGGGAAGGAACCATCTCCAGACACACTTTTAACAACCTGTGATGGGCTCTCAAAACTCCCATCTTAGGCCGGGCATGGTGGCTCATGCCTGTGATCCCAGCACTTTGGGAGGCCGAGGCGGGCGGATCATAAGGTCAGGAGATCGAGACCATCCTGGCTAACATGGTGAAACCTTGACTCTAATAAAAATACAAAAAAACTAGCCAGGCATGGTGGTGGGCACCTGTAGTCCCAGCTACTCGGGAGGCTGAGACAGGAGAATGGTGTGAACCTGGGAGGCGGAGCTTGTAGTGAGCTGAGATCATGCCACTGCACTCGAGCCTGGGCCACAGAGCAACACTCCGTCTCAAAAAACAAAACAAAACAAAACAAAACAAAAAAACTCACATCTTTGGAACCTGGCCTCACATCTCAGAACCAGGGAGAAAACTGCAGATTAACTCTCAAAGAAGGGGTTCATTGGAGGCCTCAGGTGTTTCTAGAGAAGGAATCACTCATGATTATTTCCTAGGGAATTTGCCTCCCTTTCCCTTCAAAAATTCCCAGCCATTGTTTGGGAAGAAAAAGTGCCATTTGTTTTTTGGTTTTTTTAATTTTTAATTTTTAAAATATTTATATTTGATCCAAAAAAAATGGAGACGAGGTCTCACTATGTTGCCCAGGCTGACCTCGAACTCCTGAGCTCAAGCAATCTGCCTGCCTTGGCCTCCCAAAGTGCTGGGATTACAGGCGTGAACCGCCGCACCCAGCCTAAAAGTGCCGTATAAACGAAAGAAGGGATGTAAGTTCCCAGTTGAAGGTGAAGGAAGAGGTGACTAGGTAAGCGAGGACTGAGGTCCTAGCTGCTGGGAGGGAGGCGCCATCTCGGGCTTCTTCCTCCAAATCTATCCCTGAGGCTTCCACTGCAAGTCTGGATTCCAGTTCCTCACCAGGGCTGGGCAAGGCTGGGCTTCTGGGCCCCTGGGCCCCTGGGCCCCTGCCTCATTCAGCTTACTGAGAAGCTTGGGGTCTCTGGACCTGTGAAGCCCTCGTGGCCACCCACCTCCCCTGGGAGGAAGGAATTGAATTGGGGTCAAGTGTTGGGAGGTCTGGGCAGGAGGCAGTTGTGAGCCAAAGGCAGGAAATGCTCCTCAGGAGCTGTCCTCCCACAGCTAACCTCCTCTGAGAAGACTGTTCACCACCCTCCCCTCCAGAGCAGTGCAGGGAAATGGGGATGGAGGGAGAAGGAGCCAGGGGCCCTGCCACTCACTGCCACCTCCTATTCCGGCTCGCCAATTATTTCCCTAGTCTGTCCAGGTGCAGACCCTCCCCAGCCTGAGGCGTCTGGAGCTCCATCCGGCTGAGAGCCCCTCTGTCTGGCCCCACGGTCAAGGCCCTCACAGTTTGCGGTCAGCAGGCCTTGTCTCCCTCCACACACCCGGGAGCACTGGGCACCCAGCCCCGCTGCTGGCTGGCGTTGCCTCCTTGACCTTTGCTGTTTTGGCCTTCGTGTTTCCTTCTGCTCTTCTCCCCAGGGCAGAATCCCACAAATCTTTAGAAATACAGCTGGAACCTGGAATCCGCTGAGACGGCTTCCCTGAAACTCTCTCCCTCAGGAGTTCCCGCCTCTTGAGTTCCTACACCAAGTTGTTCTCACTTCTCAAAACACAGACCACATGTTCCCCTGCTTTAGAATTATTCAGATGATCCTGTCTGTCTTCCACTGAGCTGGGAGTTCCCAGAGCAGCTCTGCTCCACAGAAATAAGATGAAAGTCACAGATGCCATTTAAAATGTTCTCTCCAGCCTGGGCAACATAGTGAGATCTCACCTGTTAAAAACAAACAAAAACCTACATAAAAGTTAGCTGTGTACAGTGGTGCATGCTTGTAGTCCCAATGACTCAGGAGGCTGAGGCAGGAGAATAGATTGAGCCCAGGAGTTTGAGGCTACTGTGAGCTATGGAAAAATTAATTTTTTGAGACAGGGTCTCACTTTGTCACCCAGGCTGGAGTGGAGTGGTATGAACATGGTTCATTGCAGCCTCAACCTCCTGGACTCAGGCGATCCTCCCCTGCCCTCAGTCCCCACAAGTAAGTGGGATTACAGGTGTGCGCTACCACGTCCAGCTAATTTTGGTATTTTTTGTAGACACAGGGTTTCACCATGTTGCCCCAGCTGGTCTCGAACTCCTGAGTTTAAGCGATCTGCCCGCCTTGGCCTCCCAAAGTGTTGGGATTACAGGCGTGACCCATCGTGTCTGGCTAAAATTAATTTTAATAATATATCTAATTTTACCCAATAGATCCAAAATATTATCATTTCCACATGTAATCAATATAAAAGTTATTAACACTAGATTTTACATTTTTTTCAGTCTTTAGAATTCAGTGTGTATTTTGTACTCACAGCACATCTCAACTTGGATTAGTCGTGTGTTCTGCAGTCACGTGGCTGGTGGGTAGTATACTGGACAGCACAATTCTAGAGAACAGGGATGGTGCCCTGGCTCTATACTTAAGATATATTAAGTCCAGATAATGTCTGGTTTAAAAAGCCCAGTTGTCTTGTTGTTAAAAAGCCCAGCCAGGCACGGTGGCTCACACCTGTAATCCCAGCAATTTGGTAAAACACGGAAGATTTATACGATCTGAAGAGAAACCAGACTATACTCCCAGCACTTTGGGAGGCTGAGGCAGATGGATTACCTGAGGTCAGGAGTTCGAGACCAGCCTGGCCAACATGGCAAAACCCTGTCTCTAATAAAAATACAAAAATTAGCCATGGGTGGCTGGGTGCAGTGGCTTATGCCTGTAATCCCAGCACTTTGGGAGGCTGAGGCGGGAAGATTACCTGAGGTCAGGAGTTCGAGAACAGCCTGGCCAACACGGTGAAACCCTGTCTCTACTAAAACTACAAAACAATTAGCTAGGCGGGGTGGTGGGCAACTGTAGTCCCAGCTACTCAGGAGCCTGAGGCAGGAGAATCGCTTGAACCTGGGAGGCGGAGGTTGCAGTGAGCCGAGATTGCACCATTGCACTCCAGCCTGGGCAACAGAGTGAGGCTCTGTCTCAAAAAAAAAAAAAAAAGCCTGGTTTTGGAATCAGACTGCTTGGGTTTGAACACTGGCTCAACCACTAACTGTGTGACCTTAGACATGTCCCATAACCACTCGGTGCCTTAACTGTCTCCTCTGTAAAGTAGGTCTAACAACTCTCATAGAATTGCTGTGAGGATTAGGTAAAGAACTTAGATCAATGCCTGGAATACAGTAGGTGCTCACTAGAGGGTGGCTGTCTTCATCTTTGCAGGATGCTAACCTTGGCCCAAAACAATCATTTATTTATTTATTTGAGACAGGGTCTCTTGCTCTATCACCCAGGCTGAAGTGCAGTGGGACGATCTCAGCTCATGGTAACCTCCACCTCCTGAGCTCAAGAGGTCCTCCCACCTCAGCCTCCTTAATAGCTGAGACTAGAGGCACACACCACCATGCCTGGCTAATTTTTAAGTTGTCTGTAGAAAAGAGGGTCTCACCATATTGCCCAGGCTGGCCTGAAACTCTTGGGCTTAAGCCATCCTCCTGCCTCCCAAAGTGCTGGGATTACAGGCCTGAGCCACCATGTGGGGCCTCTTGCCCCAAACAATCGTTTGCTGGAACATGAAATGAGAAAAATAGTCCCTTGCCCTCCTGCCGATTGAGGCAGAAGTGAGAGCTGGGTGGGGCCAGTGAGTTGTCTGGAGAAGTTGGAATAGGATGGAAGAGGCGCGGGCTGTGGGTGGCGGGAGGCTCTCTGGGGGGCGAGGTGGTGGTTTACAGCTGGGCTGCCAAGGAATTTGGAAACTAACAGCAGCATAAGGTCTGGATGATTCATTGCTGCAGCGAAGCTTCTGGGGTTCAAAGAAGGAAGATCTAGAGGACTGGAGACTGCAGAAAACCCTTCAAGGAGCAGCGTGCGGTTTGAAAAGCTAGCAAGCAGCGGGTGATGTGGAGTTTGCTCATTGCTTGGAGAAAAGGGCTGGTTGGGACAAAGGGTCTGATTGGAGTCAGGCCGGCCGCCTCTGGCGGGTGGCCTCCCTCGCTAGCGGCAGGCCTCGCGGGAGAGGGGAAGCGTCTGAGGATTGCATTTTAGGGCCACAGCGCCCTCTGCTGGACATGGGGACCTGGGGCAGCAGCACGAGTGGGAACAGTTGACAAAATGCGCGGGGGGAGAGGTCTGTGCCAGATACCGTCCTTCCCATTTCCAGGCACCCCTAGGAGAATCACACAATAGGAATTCCTTAACAAGTATGGGAAGTTTATAGAAAATTAGCAAGTCCTGAAGTGTAGCCGCCTATTGGTTCATCTTTATTTGCTCACAGGGTAGATGAATGTGTACTGTATTGATTTTATTTCATCTCATAATCCTTTGAAGTTATAGGGCTGTGGGTTAGAGGCAAATAATAACAGTTAATGCTTATATAGCCCTATGATGTGCCAGGTGCGATTTTATGTTATTTTACAGATGAGGAAACTGAGTCACAGAGAAATTTAAATCACCAGCATAACGTAACATAGCTGACTGACATAGAAGAGCCAGTGTGACTGCAGTGTGTGTGCACTAAACTACCACTTCCTACTGTTTCTCTGAAATAATCAAGGCCATGATATATGGTAAGTCCTGGGTGCTCTATGAACCTAGATCTTCCTAGTTCTGTTCATGATTCTCAGACCGCTGCTAAATTTTTTTTTTTTTTTTTTTTTTGAGACAGGGTCTTGCTTGGTTGCCCAGGCTGAAGTGCAGTGGCATGATCTTGGCTCACTGCAGCCTTGACCTCCCTGGCTCAAGCAATCCTCCTGCCTTAGCCACTCGAGTAGCTACAGGCGTGTGCCACCATGCCTGGCTAATTTTTGTATTTTTTGTAGAGACAGGGTTTTGCCATGCTGCCCAGGCAGGTCTCGAACTCCTGAGCTTGAGCAATCTGCATGCCTCAGCCTCCCAAAGTGCTGAGATTACAGGCATGAGTCACAGCTCCTGGCTTAAAGAATTTTTTTTTTTTTTTTTTTTTTTTTTTAAAGTCAGGGCTGGCTGGGCACAGTGGCTCATGCCTGTAATTCCAGCACTTTGGGAGGCCGAGGCGGGCGGATCACTTGAGGTGGGCATAATGGCATGCGCTTGTAATCCCAACTACTCAGGAGGCCAAGGCAGGAGAATTGCTGGAACCTGGAAGACGGAGGTTGCAGTGAGCCAAGATCGCACCACTGCACTCCAGCCTGGGTGACAGAGCAAGCCTCTGCCTCAAAAAAAAAAAAAAAAAAAAAAAAAAAAAAAAGTCAGGGCTAACATTTATTGGTTTGTCATGCATGTAGGGGAGAAAAAGCCATGTCTTTTCTTCACCCATCACAAGTTCATAGTTGACACCACTATAATAAAAGACAGATTAACAAAAGAAAAGCATAACAAATTTACTTAACCAAAGTCTTATGTGATATAGGAGGCTTCAGAAATGAAGACCAAAGACCCGGGGAAAATAGTGTGTGTTTATGCTGAGTCTGAAGAAAGAAATGGATAGTTGTGGAGAAACATGATTAGAGGAAAAGGGGTATGATCTGATGGAAATAAACTGGGAGAGAACTCAGGAAGACCTATTTTTTCAGGTTCTTTTGTGTGTGTGTGCCTCTATATGATTTTCCTTCAACCTCCTCCCCCACCATTTCCCAGGTGTGGTGCAGAACATCTGTCGCATGAGGGTCTTATGACCTAATTTTAGAGGAGATAGGTCAGAGAATTATTTTGTAGACAGTGCTCACACAGAAAGGCCAGAGAAGGTCAGAGTGACCTCTGGTGGCTGACGCTGGAGGATCACCTGGACCCAGGAGAGTGATAGCCAAGGTACCATGTTTTGGGGTACTGTGTCCTGCACCCTGTCATGCACTAGATACGTGGCAGGCACTGTGCTGAGCACACTGTTGGATTGTCTCACTTAAGCCCCAAAATGGCCCTGCGAGACGACTATTATTATTTTCCTTCTTTGACAAATGGGGAAGTGTCCAGGCATGGCTTAGCTGCGTTCTCCACCCAAGGACTCTCAAGGCTGCATTCAAGGTGTTGGCTAGACTGTGGTCTCATCTGGAACTTTGACTGGAAAATGTGCTTCCAAATTAATTCAAGTTGTTGGCAGAATTCATTTCCTCATGGGTATAGGACCAAGGGTTCCAGCTTCTTGCTGGGTGTCAATTGAAAGTGGATCCTTTCCACGTGGGCTTTCCCAAGGTATCAGTCGGGGTCCTCCAGAGAAACAGTAGGATGCAAACATACAAACACACCAATACATTTATTCCAAGGAACTAGTGTATGCAATTAATTGTAGGGGCCGGCAAGTCTGAAATCCACAGGAGACTGGCAGGCTGGAAACTCTCAGGCAGGAGCTGATGCTGGAGTCTTGCGGCAGAACTTCCTCTTCTCTTTCTCAGGGAAGCTTTAGTTTTGTGCTTTAGTCCTTTCAACTGATTGGATGAGGCCCATCTCCATTGTTGAGAATAATCTGTTTTATTTGTTTTGTTTTTTTTTTTGAGACAGGGTCTTGTTCTGTTACCCAGGCTGGAATGCATTGGCGTGATCACCGCTCACTGCAACCTTGACCTCCTGGGCTTAATTGATCCTACCGCCTCAGCCTACTGAGTAGCTGGGACTACAGGCACACACCACCACATCTAGCTAACTTTTGTATTTTTGCAGAGATGAGGTTTTGTCATGTTGCCCAGGCTGGTCTTGAACTCCTGAGCTCAAGGCATCCTCCCACCTTGGCTCCCAGCTGAGATTACAAGTGTGAGCCACTGCACCCAGCCTGTTGAGAATCTTTATTCAAGGTCAACTGATTGTGGATATTAACCACATCTATAAAATACCATCACCGCAACACCTAGATTAGTGCTTGATAGAATGATTGGGACCTATAGCCTAGCCAGGTTGACGCATGAAACTAACCATCACACCCAACCTGGCTGCTTGCTTCACTAAGCCAGCAAGGAGAGTCTCTAGAGTGAGTTGGCCAGCAAGGAGTCTCATAAAACGTAATGAAATCGAGTGACATCTCATCCCTTTTGCCATATTCTACTGGTTAGAAGCAAGTCATGGAGCCAGGCACAGTGGCGGCATGTGCCTATAATCCTAGCTACTTGGGAGGTGGAGGCAGGAGTATCGCTTGAACTCAAGAGTTCAGGAGTTCGAGACTAGCCTGGGCAAAACAGTGAGACCCCCATCTCTTAAAAAAAAGAAAAAAAGGCCAGGCGCGGTGGCTCAAGCCTGTAATCCCAGCACTTTGGGAGGCCGAGACGGGCGGATCACGAGGTCAGGAGATCGAGACCATCCTGGCTAACATGGTGAAACCCCGTCTCTACTAAAAAATACAAAAAACTAGCCGGGCGAGGTGGCGGACGCCTGTAGTCCCAGCTACTCGGGAGGCTGAGGCAGGAGAATGGCGTAAACCCGGGAGGCGGAGCTTGCAGTGAGCTGAGATCCGGCCACTGCACTCCAGCCTGGGCGACAGAGCGAGACTCCCTCTCAAAAAAAAAAAAAAAAAAAGAGGCAGCAAGTCATGGGTCCCACCCACAATCAAGGGAGGGGATTTCACGATGGTGGTGAATGCCAGGAGGTGGGAACATTTTAGCGTCTGTCCACCACAGAAGCTAAGGTTCAGGGAGCTTAGGAAGAGGCCCAGCGTCACGGTGGTGGTAAAACTGGTGGTCTGTTAACGGCCCTGCTGGAAGAGGCCCCTGCCCTGTTCCCTGCTGGTTCCACCTCCTTATGCTGACTCAGGTGTATGCTGAGGTTCCTGGCTCTCTCCCGCACTCCTTGGACAACTCAGCCTTTCCTAGGTTCCACTATCACAGGCAGGTCAGGCTTAAAGTTCACTTACTTACCTTTACTTACCTTCCTCTTGGATCCTAAAACACTTTAACTTCACTAAATCATTTATGTTGTATATTCTGTCTTTTTTTTCAACCTTACTGGACATCATTATTATTGTTTATGTAGTCAGTACTTGTTTAGATTCATCTACATATCTGTACTCCTCATTTCTTTTTAGAATTACTGTTATTATTATTATTTTTCTGAGACAGAGTCTCACTCTGTCACCAGGCTAGAGTGCAGTTGACGTGATCTCAGCCCACTGCAACCTCTGCCTCCCAGGTTCAAGTGATTCTCTTGCCTCAGCCTCCCAAGTGGCTGGGACTACAGGTGCACGCCACCACGCCCACCTAATTTTTGTATTTTTAGTAGAGACGGAGTTTCACCGTGTTGGCCAGGATGGTCTCGATCTCTTGACCTCGTGATCCCCCCGCCTTGGCCTCCCAAAGTGCTAGGATTACAGGCGTGAGTCAACATGCCTGGCCTTAAAATAATTTTTTTATTGTGCTGTAATTCACCATTTTAGTCTGGGCATGGTGGCTCACATCTGTAATCCCAGCACTTTGGGAGGCCCAGGCAGGAGGATTACTTGAGGTCAGAAGTTTGAGACCAGCCTGGCCAACAAGGTGAAACCTTATCTCTACTAAAAATACAAAAAAAAAAAAAAAAAAAAAAAAAAAAATTAGCCAGGCATAGCGGTGGGCACCTGTAATCACAGCTACTTGGGAGACTGACGCAGTAGAATTGCTTGAACCCAGAGGCAGAGCTTGCAGTGAGCTGAGATCACACCACTGCACTCCAGCCTAGGCAACAGAGCAAGACTCCATCTCAAAATAATAATAATAATTCACCATTTCAAGTGTACAATTCAGTGGCTTTAGTATATTGACAAGGTTGTACAACCATTACCACTATCTAATTCTGTAATATTTTTATCACCCCCAAAAGAAATCCCGTACCTATTATTCTCCATTCCTCCCTCCTCCCTCTAGCCTCTGGCAACCACAAGTGTACCTTCTGTTTCTGTGGATTTGCCTACTCTGGACATTTCACACAAATGGAACATGTAATATGTGGCCTTTTGTGTCTGAATTCTTTCACTTAATATAATGTTTTCAAAGTCCATCCATGTCATAACATGTATCAACACTTCATTCCTCTTTATGGCTGTATAATATTCCATTGTATGGATATACCACATTTTGTTTATCCATTCATCTGTTGATGGACATTGAGTTGCTTCCACTTTTTGGCTATTATGAATAATACTGCCATGAACATTTGTGTACAAATCCTCATCCCTTCTTGCATCTCAGACCTTCCATCTGGGATTCCTTTCCTTCTGCCTGAATTGCATCCTTTAGAGTTTTTTTCATGGGGCACTTCAGTGAGGCTGATGGCAAACTTTTTTAGTTTTTACTTGTTTGAAAATTCACTCTTGGCTGGGTGTGGTGGCTCAGACTTGTAATTACAGCACTTTGGGAGGCCAAGGCAAGTGGATCACCTGAGGGTCAGGAGTTCGAGACCAGACTGATCAACATGGTAAAACTTCATCTCTACTAAAAATACAAAAATTAGCTGGGTGTGGTGGCGGGCGCCTGTAATCCCAGCTACTCGGGAGGCTGGGGCAGAAGAATCACTTGAATCCGGGAGGCAGAGGTTACAGTGAGCTGAGATCGTATCATTACACTCCAGCCTGGGCAACAGAGAGAGACTCCATCCCCACCCCACCCCCCCAAAAAAAAAGAAAAGAAAAGAAACTTCACTCTTGAATTCTAGGTTGGAAGTTACTTTCTTTCAGTATGTTCAAGATATCATTCTCCTGGCTTATGGCTTCCATTATTGCTGTTGAGAAAGCTGCTCTTAAGATTTTCTTTCTAGGACTGGGCACGGTGGCTCACGCCTGTAATCCCAGCACTTTGAGAGGCCGACGTGGGCGGATCACGAGGTCAGGAGATCGAGACCATCCTGGCTAATATGGTGAAACCCCGTCTCTACTAAAAATACAAAAAAATTAGGGCGTGGTGGTGCATGCCTGTAGTCCCAGCTACTCGGGAGGCTGAGGCAGGAGAATGGTGTGGACCTGGGAGGCAGAGCTTGCAGTGAGCCGAGATCGCACCACTGCACTCCAGTCTGGGCGACAGAGCAAGACTCCGTCTCAAAAAAAAAAAGAAGAAGATTTTATTTCCATATTCAGGCTGGGTGCAGTGGCTCATGCCACCTAGCACTTTGGGAGGCCATGGTGGATGGATCACTTGAGGTCAGGAGTCAAGACCAGCCTGGCCAACACAGTGAAACCCCATCTCTACTAAAAATACAAAAATTAGATGGGTGTGGTGGTGGGCACCTGTAATCCCAGCTACTTGGGAGGCTGAGAAAGGAGAATCTCTTGAACCCTGAAGGTGGAGGTTGCAGTGAGCTGAGATCGCGCCACTGCACTCCAACCTGGGTGATGGAGTGAGACTCTGTCTCAAAATAAAATTTTTTTTCTTTCTATATTCAGAATTCTGACGTTTCATTGTGATGTATCTGCATGTGGATTCTATTTTATTTATCCTGCTTAGAATTCTTCACGCTTCCAGAACTTGTGGTCTGATGCCCCATCAGAACTGGGAAATTCTCAGCCATTATCTTTTCAAATCTTCCCCTTGCCACATTCTCTTGTTCTTTCCTTAAAAAAAAAAAAAAAGGATTTTAAATAAAATAAAATCGGGTCTTGCTGTATTGCCCAGGTTGGGTTCAAAATCCTGGCTCAAGCAATACTCACATAGCGGGATTAAAGGTATGCATGCACCACCACGCCTGGCTTCTTTTTTTTTTTTTTCTTTCTAGAATTCTGATCAAACGATGTGAGACTCTTTCATTGTATCCTCCTTGTGTCTTAAACTCTTCTCTTTTTGTCCCTTTTCTGCATTCTGGGTAATTTCTTCTGCTCTATCTTCCAATGCCTCTCTGGGATCCCACTTTAAGTTTTGGCCTGGACATTCATCTCTCTTGTCAAATATCTGTAATATTGCTAAGGACATATTTTTTAAAAAAACTTTTATCCAAGCCAGGCGCAGTGGCTCATGCCTGTAATCCCAGCACTTTGGGAGGCTGAGGCGGGTGGATCATGAGGTCAGGAGATCGAGACCATCCTGGTTAACATGGTGAAACCCCATCTCTACTAAAAATACAAAAATTAGCGGGGCGTGGTGGTGGACACCTGTAGTCCCAGCTATTTGGGAGGCTGAGATAGGAGAATGGCGTGAACCTGGGAGGCGGAACTTGCAGTGAACCAAGTTCCTGCCACTGCACTCCAGCTTGGGCAATAGAGAGAGATTCCGTCTAAAAAAAAAAAAAACCCAAAAAAAAAAAAACCTTTATTCAGCTTTTGCATTTTTTTTCAATGGGAAAGTTGGTCTGACTAACTTAGCCTATCATTACAGGATATGGAAGTCCTACCATCCTCCTCATTGCCTGTTTCATGTATGTTCTCCTTTCCCTGATAATCCAAATTGGAGCCATTCTCCAGGGACTGTCTCCAAGCCCATCTCTTCCATCAGCCCTTCCCTGTCCTGTCCCTGTTGAGCTTTCCTGCCCCTAGAACTAGAATCGATTGTCCCCCACTCAGTGGCAGCACGTGGGGACCTCTCTTGGATTGTTCACTTATCAGATAACTTAG